GTCGTCATTTTACGAACTCAAAAAATCCCGAATCATTTAACGGATCATTATAATAGACTTACTTCTGCACAGGCCAAACAAATATATTACACTAAAAGAACACATGATGCTCAACGCACACCACAACGAAAAACACGGAACACCTAAAGCCTCTGCCCAAATGCTTATGTCATGAAAATACCGGAGCTGGTATTCCTTTCAGGCGACGATACGGACGTCAGAACTGCCACTATGATGTTCGGTAAACAGTGCAGCACTGGCCAAAGCAACTGGAATAACTGGCCAACGCACGGGCTGCCTGTGCAAAGATGCGTTTTTTGCATAGCTCCCCGCAGTTTTTGTCGCTACCGGCATCGGTTTTTTGACAAATCCTTCTAGATAAACAAATTAAGACCAGCCGCCAAAACTGGCAGGAAACACACTCTTAAAACTTCAGCTTTCTAGCTTTTTTGGCTCCTGAGTTAGCAATTTACTGGGAAAAATTTTTCACGAGCCCGCACTCGTGCCACGTATATCCGATGTCTGGGTTTGTGCTCGTTCAGACTTACTTGGACAGGGAACATCCTCCTAAAACTACAGTCTTTTAGCATTACAGGTTCTCCAGTTATGAGCTTAACCGAGAAAAACTTCGGTGAAGTCGTGCGTGGGTACCACGCACAGCCGTGGGCTGGGTTTGATCTCGATGAGACTAATTTAGACGAGAAACACCCTTTTAATGTTACAGTCTACTAGCATCTCAGATCCACGAGTTACGAATTTACGCGGGAACATTTTGGCGGTCCCACACGCGGGCACCACGCCTACCCGGGGGTTGGGTTTGAGCTCATTAGTATGTACTTGGACGGGGAACATTCCCTCAAAATTTCAGCTTTCTAGCTTTCCTGGTTCGCGAGTTATCAATTTACCCCAAAAAAACTTTGGCGGGCTTTTACTTGGGTACCACGCGGGTAAGGACGCCCATTTTGGGGATGCATGCAGATTATGTCCCGAAAGTTTCAGCCCTGTAGCTTTTGCCGGTCTCGAGATGAACCCAGGCTGGAACGCACCAGGCGGGC